TTCATGTGCGCACCAGTTGGTTTCAAAAACAACAAATTCAATTTACAAAACTACTTAGTGAAAAAAGATATGTGTAAAAAAATATATATGTATATATCATAAATATATATGTATATATATATATATATGGTAGCTTATAAAAAATGCTGCAAAATTATGTTTAATAATTAATATAACTAAATTATGTGGACTGGATAACAGAAGGCGCCCTAGCCCGACACGCACATGCATTTTTCAGTTATCAGACATATATATATATATATATATTTAAAGATATATATATATATATAAAGGGTTAGTGGCGTTATGGCTGATATAATACAAAGGGTAGGTGGGCGGGGGGCAGGGCGCAGGTTGCGGTTTGTGGGCGGGTTGGGACTTTCTTATTCACACAGCGCACACATACTTCTGCACACCAGCGAGTGTGTTATAAATAAATTAACATTTTTGTTTTTTTTTGTAGTTCGTTTTGTATGTTGCATCAATTAATTAATCAATTAGTTAATTAATTAATATAATTGTATACTAATAGGGCATCGTATGCATGTCTTCCAGGTTTAACATTAAATAAATATTATTATTTTTTCTTGTTATATTTTCTTTTCTAATCTCATACAATATATATTGATATAACTGTACTACATGTGGTGTAAGTAGGTTTGGGAGGTAGGGGGTGGGGTGGGGTGGGGAAGGGCTTATTATAATATATTACAGTGTTGTTAAAGTATATATATATATGTATATATTTAACATGAAGAATTGTATTGAAATATTAGCTGCACACAAAATCTTGCGCCTAACAATGTCTTTGTGCCTTTTGAAATCTCTGTTAATAATTATTAGTAAAGTGCTTGGGGCTGGGTTACATATTAGTTGGGGGCTTTATATGGTATATATATAAATATATATACACATAATTGCTGTAAGCGTGTGCACATTAGTGTTAAATGCAACAACAAACAGGTGCAAACAGCTTGGCACAATATACTTGCCCCACCGTTGGCAGCAGGAGGCCAGCAAATATTTTTTGCTTTAGCTAATAACTAGAATTATGTGCTGATCAAATAGAGTTAGAGTATATATAATTTACTGTATTTGAAATGTACTATTTATTTTTGTTGTTGTGGTTTATAATTAACTGCCTTCAAACTGCATAAAGTCCTCTGATGGCTGCACTCGGAAACCCTTTTATGTTGCCTCTTGCTAACTTGCTTTCTAACTATTTTTAAGTTTTTCTTAATTAATGTTTGTTGTTTTTGATTTTTTTGTTTTATGTAACTATGAAATTGCAACATCTGAATCCAGTTGAAACCATGAATCGTGCACAGGTCAGCATTTGATTCCATACTTTCTTTCATCCTTCAATTCATAACTTAAGATTTCTTGCTTTTCCTATATAATTGACAAATAAATTTGGCTTACCATAATGTTTTGCAATGCATGGTCAACATTTAAGATTTCATTCAGTTAGTTGTGCTATATATATATATATATATATATATATATATAATTGTCTATATATATGCTTTGTCTGAGTATCAAACGTTTGCCTTGTTGTTGCTGCCGTTGCTGTCGTTGCCACTGCTTATGGCAGCTGCCTGTTGTAGCTTCTGGGATTACAATTATTACGATTAGCATTAGCATTAGCATTAGCATTGGCATTAGCATTAGCATTAGTAGTTGTAGCTGTTGTAATTGTATTAGCTTCCATTTGATTGCTGTTGCTGCTGCTGTTTTCGCTGTTGCACATGTTGCTGCTGCTGGCTGCCACGCACGGCGCCAGCTGCTTCAGCTGTGCCATATAATGATTGAAGCTGCGCCGCATACAGCTGGCCATGCCACCTGGCTCCAGCTCCTCCAGCTCATTGTCGCTCTCATCAATGACAATCGTTTGCATTTGCTTTTGATTTTGCTGCTGTTGCTGCTGTTGTTGTTGCTGTTGTAATCTCATGTTGCTGTTGTGCTGTTGTTTGGCCTCAAAGTTTTGTTGATAGTAGTTGCGTGCATAGAAATTGAAGGGCTGCGCCCGGCGTAGTTGTTGCTGCTGCTGCTGTTGATAGTTACTGGCAAAGTGCGGCGGCGGTTGTTGTTTTAGGGACGATTCGTCTGGACTCCATGCAGCATAGTTCCAGGCCAGGTACTGGCTATATCATTCGCTTGTTGCATTGTGCTGCTGCTGCTGGTGATGCTGCGGCTGCAACTGCTGATGCAGCATGTGCTGCTGCGCCAGTGAATGTGCATGTTGCTGCAGCTGCTGCTGTTGCTGCTGCGCTTGTTGTTGCTGCAGTGACTGTTGTTGCTCGCGTTGCTGCTGCTGCTGTTGCTGCTGTTGTTGTTGCTGCTGCTGCTGCTGCTGTTGTTGTTGCTGTTGTTGCTGATGCGCGGCTGTAAATGCCGCTGCTGCCGCCGCCGCCATGGCCGCCTGCGATGCGGCCGCCAGCTGTGTAGCCGTAGGCGTGCCCGCACCCACCGTTGTCGCCGAGGCGGACATTAGGTTGTCGAACTTGCGCGTGTCCGGATTGTACATGGGGTGCTTGAACTTGCAGTGGGTGCGCAGATTGTCGCTGCGGGTGTAGGTGGCACGGCACAGGGGGCACTCGAAGCGGCCGGGAAAGTGGACATGATAGTGGTTGCGTATATGCGTCACGACCTTGCCGCACAGCTTGCAGCGATGCAGGTTGCAGCCACCGGAGAGACGCTCAAAGGTGAGCCGCATGTGCCAGGCCTTCGAGCCTACGTTCGCCGCATAACGGAATTCGTTTCGTTTCGTTTCGTTTTGTTTTTGATTTGTATATATTTTTTTGATTCAGATATTTATTTTGTAATTGTTAAGATTTGCATATTTAAAATGTTCGATTTGATTTTTGGTTTTTGGTTTGGTTTTGGTTTTGGTTTGTTCGTTCAAACGCGTAAAGAAAAAAGAAGAGAAAAACAATGTTGTTGTTGGTGATTCACAGAAACAGAAAAATTATTTTATAATTATTCTTAAGCTGTATAATTCAATGGTTTTCATAAACTGCATTTAATTTTGTGTGTGTGTGTTTTATTTTACTAGTTTTGTTGCCCTTTTTTTAGCATTGCCAATGAAGAGAGCTAGAAGTTTAAATATTTTATAATCTAGAGATGAGAAGACATGTGACTTCTTGTCTGGATTTTAGTAATATATAAAATATTTATGTATTTGGAAATATAAGTGTGTTGCTTGGGGGGAACCATGAGAGGTGGCGGGGAGCTTGATTGAGTTAAATAGATGATTTTTTTTCAATATTTTCTCAATAACAAATTTCACGCAAAAATTTTGTTACACCCAAAACAAAAAACAGCAAAAAAAATAAAATACAAAGAACAATTTAGTTAAATATTTTCATTGAATTTGGAAGTGTGTTGGGCGCGAGGGGGGCGGGGTGTGGGTTAAGGTAAACCAAATTATGTATACATATAGAAAATGAAATTCGAACCAATTAAAAATAGTTGACATTGGCAAAATGGATAATTGCTTAAGAAATAATTTATAAAAATATTATTTACAATAATTAGGAATTAATAATATTCGATTAGATTAACTAGGCTCAATTTTCAGGTGCTGAATACTTTGAAGAACCCAAACCAAATTATGTATGTATACGACTATATAAGATACATATATATATATATATATATATATATATATATATATATTGTATATATATAGATAACTATATATGCAGTGAGCCGTGTTTTTGTTTGGGTTATACCAATATTTGTTTTTTATAAATAAATATAATTTATATTTATAATTTGTTGTATGTCTTGATAGATGATGAGTGTGTGTTTTGTTTGGATGTTTAAACGTGTTTCTACTGTTTGTTAATATATATAAATAAATAAATAAATATATATAAATATATTTATATATATTCATGTATTAAATTCTGTATTTATTTGTTGTAAGCCGAAACCATATTAGTTTCAAGATATATTGTACTGAATTGTACGGGTGTTGAGGAGCAGTTGTTGTATTATATTTTATATTTGGGGTATTTGCTTATATATGAATATACAGGGGGGTAAATAAAAGAGGGACATTAACTGATCGATTCGATATAGTCACGGCAAAGATATTATTATATATATAAATATGTATATATATATATAAGTATAAACAGCTAGAAATTAACAAAGCTAGCATAGCGCCAACATATTTGCTAATCATTGGGTTTATAATTTAATATGCGTGTCATGCATATTATCGGAAAATTATGGAACATCGATATGGAACATATTTTCAACACCCCTCCTGCCTGCTGCATACAAACATTTATAAAGAGCTCGAAAAACAAACAAAGAAAAAACGCCTTTCATAGGCAGAGAGAAAGGCAGTGACAGCGAGAGGGAAAGATATACAGAGTGTGAGTGAGAGAGACAGAGAGACAGAGAGAGAGAGAGAGAAGGAGATAAAGAGAGACGTATAGATAGCAAGTGAGTGAGTAAGAGAGACAGACAGACAAAAAGAGAGAGAGAGAGAGCGAGATAGAGAAAGAGAGAGAGAGAGAGAGAGCAAGTGTTTCAAGACATTAAGTATATATATATTCAGTAAACATTTTCAATTATTTGGCCAATTCCTGTTTTTTTTTTCCAGTAATTTTTATAAAAATTTTAAATTTTTGTTCTGCTTATTTTTGTGTTTGTAAAAGTTAAAAGAATGCACATACATAAAAACAATACGTAGCCTATACGTTTATAAATTATTTAAAAACTAATGAAAATTAAATCAAACAAATTTAAGATAAACTTAGTTTTATGTTTAAATAGAGCTTAGAAAATGGAAACTTACCGTAGGTAGAGAGTGCGCTTGTAGTTTATTTATTTCTGATTATTTTGTTTTTAATTTTCTTTGGATTAATCGAAATTTGTTTTCATTTTATATAAGAAACTGGGTTTAGTTGGTTGATCTGGTTGTTAGTTCCTATGTGAAACATTTTGGGTTTTGTTTGTGTGTTTTAAATTGAAAAGAACTGGAATTCGATTTGAAAGAGATTTATTAAGTAAAGTTAAAGAAGTTAAGTATTGCTTGCTGATTTGTTGTGTTTATCTTTAAAATAGTTTTAAGAGTTTGCATTTGCATTTGCTTAAGCTACGACTATTTTTGTTCTTGTTTTAAATACAATGCATTTCATTTTTGTCTTCTAATTGTTTATTGCTGAGTATTGCGTGTGTGTTTGTGTGTGTGTGTGTGTGTGTTTGGCTAACATATTGTTTCTTTAGCAAACCACTTTCAAATACTTTTGTTTTTTTTAATTTAAATAATTATCTCAAATAGAAATCTGCAACTAATGCACTCCGGTGGGTGTCTTGCCAAAGATACGAGTCCAATTATTTAACGAGCGCCCAATTTCAATGCAAATATCAAATATACCTTGTCATATATACAAGGCTGCAAAGCGGGTTTGAACCAAACTGGTTCAAACTCGAAATTTGTATTTAAATATTTATTTTTGTTTTTATCAATTTGAGTGAGCTGTGGCCTTAAAATAAAAAGAAAACCGAATGGTTTTACAATTTGAGTGAGCTGTGGCCTTAAAATAAAAAGAAAACCGAATGGTTTTACAATTTTACAATTTGTATCAAAGCCTGGTTTCATGAATGTTAAAGAACAGGTTCGAGACGTGAACTGAACCGTGAATGGGTTTAGCGGCAAATTTCGTTAGGTTTGCAGCCCTGTTTATATGTAAAAGTTGGCTCGAAGTGCTCGCAGGGGCTCAAATTTGTCTGCAGCACCTATTTATGCTTTTGGAATTGAGCGCGTTATGGTTTAGTTTGAATTTTTAACAATTTCTTTGTTTATACATTTAAAATAGTCTTGTTTCTTAGTGATTTATGAAATCGTTTTGATCTCTATTGCTTTTGTTTACGTTTGATCTTTGCTTTCCCGTAGTTTTAGATACTCTTAAGCCTCACTCGTTGCATTTGTTGCTTAAAATTTGATTTTCTTTCTTATTATTGGTCGACAAAATTGCATTTTTTTTAAAGTTATTATTGTTGCTTTGATTAATTGAATAGAAGTTTAAGTACTATATAATATGGCACACAAAATAGTATTAGTCAAAACTCACTACAGCACATGTTAAATGTTTAAATAAATTATATAAATTGTATAAATAAATAAACAAACAAATGATAACCTAAGCAAATAGGTTTAACTGGTAAACGTAAAGTTGTGGAATTCTAATTGTAATACTTTTTAAAGTTTTCACTTAAGTACTGGCCTCGGTATATGCGGTTTATAATAATCAAATATGTGTAGTACCATATTTTAAAATGATGTAAAAAAGCGTCTAGAGGTTATTTGAATAACAATTAATAGAAAGTCTTTTGATAAATCAACTACAAGAGTACAATATGTATATATATATATTGATAATTAGCTAAAATCTGCTCGAATACTCGAATACCTTTATCTTTCAGCATTATAATATTACGTATGTGATTTTATAAGTTTAAATTTGAAAACCTTTTATTCGATTCGATTTGATTTGATTTGATTTGTTTTTTTGTTAATTTCTTTTACCTGCCTTTAAGTAAATTGCGGTGAGCGCTGAAGAAACTCTCGGAAACTCTTAGGGTTCTAGGTATACGTAATTATATAACTGAGGGTGGTCTGCAATTGCTTGTAGAGGGTTTTACATATCGTCACAGGGGTCTAACTATCTAAAGAAGTGATCACATATGTACATAATGGCTGAAGAAACGATCCTTGATATCCGCATGCTTGATCTTGCAATGGGCCTTCATATTGTCGCGCCGCGTAAACTTCTGGCCACAGACGGGACACTCGTGACTCTGGGGCCGATGGATGTTGGCGTGATGCCAGCGATTGGATACAATCTTGTTGCAGCTGACACAGCGATAGAGCGTGGGCAGCGTGCCGGACAGTTGCACAAAGAGCGTGGAGTAGTCGATGTTATGATCCCGACGATTTGCTGCAGCAGCCGCAGCCGCTGCTGCTGAGGTGCTGCTGCCCGAGGCGGACGAGGAGCTGGGCTGCGGCGAGAGCGCTGGCGGATAGTGCGGCGAACTGAGTGCACCATGGGGCGGCACATGATGGGCATGGTGGGCATAGCTATGGGCCAGCTCCAGCTGATGGCTCGGCTGCAATGCATTGGCTATGCCATTGGGCGACTGCTGCAGTGCGTAGCTCAAGTGCGGCGCCTGCTGTTGCTGCTGCATCTGCTCCCGATAGCTGCTGCTGCTCGAAGTGGGCGTGGGCGAGTAGGCCGCCTCGGCGCCGCACAGCGTCTCGGCGGCTGTGGCTGCCACAATGGCGCTGCTGTGCCGGCCCAGATTCAGTGCCGTTTGTGGCGCTGCCGCCAGCTGATGATGCGGCTGCTGCTGTTGCTGTTGCTGCTGCTGCTGTTGCTGGCGACTGCAGCGTATGGCGCGCATATTGCGCTCCTTGCACTTGTACTCGCAATTAAAGTTGTTGTTGTCCATGTACAGGTCCGTCGCGGGTATATCCTCCTCATGCGGTGCATAGATTATGGCACGCCTATACTTGGGCGTGGCATGGTAGGCGAGCGCTGCCGCTGCCGCCGCCGCCGCCGCTGCTTCGGCCTCCGCCTCCTCCTCATCAGCAGCCATTTGCTGGTCAGCCGTTGCGACGACGGCAACGGCCACACCGAGCTCGACGTCGTCGTCCGCACTGTGCTTGGGGGCACTGTTAAAACATTTAACGCGACCTGCAAACATTTGCGTTTCGTATAATGCGTTATCACTGTGAGCGAATGGCGATAGGATTTGGTTTTAACGAGCTTTGCGACCATGGAATGCAATGTCTGGCCAATGGGATGCGCTCTCGTTTACATTCCATGCGCACAGTGGGCTTTGGCCAAATGCTAATTGGAACTGAACTGAATAAGATGTGCGCAATTGGCAAGCCGTAAGGATTGCATATTTGTATATATATATATATATATATATATGGTATATGGTTTATTTGTATAGCAGTTACTTGTATTTATGGTATAGGTATATATATATATTGGGTATGTTTTGTCTTTAGATATGCAAACGAATTTGGAACAACAGTCAGCTACAAGAATTGTTCTTAGTTTGGGTTTCAGTTGTGGTAAAACATTTTTAAAAGTTCTCAATACATTTCAATTGGGATTTTGTGTGTGTGTGTGTTTTTTTTTTATGGCAAATGTGTTTTATCAGAACGTAACGTAAAAATTACAAAATTGTAAAACTAAATTGCATTGACAAATGGAACTAGGAATGAAGCTTAGGCTGGCTAGTTGTTGGTTTATTGGGTTGTTCTAAAGGTTTTCAAATCAGATCGAATGTGTATGTATGTGTGTGTTGTTTTTTTTATAAATAACATAAACAAAATTATAATATCCAAAGGAAAACATATTTATAGCATCTTTATGAAATTGCACGAATTTTATCTTAAATTAAATTCATAATAAAACACAAATTAAAAACAGGACTTAAAGCTAAGGTTTCGATTCGGTTTCGGCAGGTTTCGTAAGGTAATTAGAGGCTCTATTCAATCAACTCAGCTAGATAATATTGTGTGTATGTATATTGCATTATATGGCATATAAGGAGAACACAACAGTGTAAACAAATCAAAATGTTAACTTTATATGTTTTGTGTGTCATTTGTGGACATTTACAGTATACTATAATACAATTTTGTTCCTTATTTAATTATTAAATTAGTTATTGTTTTTATTTTTTTTTTGTTTGTCTTTTATTTTAGTACTTCAATGTTGCAACAAATTTTTCAGCAATAAACGATATACTCATTGTTTCACTCGTAATACTTAATTTAATTTATTTTCATTTTTTCAATTCCATTTTTTTTTTTGTTGTGCAAATTCCAGTTCTTTTTTCAGGCCTAAGTGTGGGTAGCTTAAGAGGGGTTGTTAGATGGAGTACGATTTGGTTTATTTTGTTTTTATTTTTTGTATTACCAATGTGCACGGTATATTCCTTCGCTTTGCCATAAGTATTGGGCTTAGCATTGGGCAAGACCGTAAGACTATCATGACACACACACAGACACGCATACACACACAGGCACACAGACACTCACACTCACACACACGCACACACACAAGCATACGCACGACACATACACATAAATATAGTATATGTATAAAGAGGCGAAAAGATATTCGAAAAAACATTTAGTAGATTGACAAACCAATTATAAGAAAACAGACAACAATTTACAGCTCGTTACAGTGGTGGCAAATAAATTGAGCTCACATTAAATTATATATGCAGCAAGGTTAGTGTAAATATATTCAACAGAAAAATTATATAGAAACTGAATGAATTTTGAAGCTGTAGCGTTTTTTTTTTTGTTTTTATTTATTTTGTATTATTATCATTTATATTTTGGTTTTCTTACCGAAAGTCTTGTTTTTAGAATTACTCAAAGTTATTGAATTTGATTTTGGTTTTTATGTGGTCGATTTTCTTAGACAATAAGTTGCAACATTAAAGACGAAAATAGAGTTGAAAAATTTGAGGGGTTTTGAAGTTTCTAGCGCAGTTATAAATAGTTAATAAAAAATAAAAATAAAAAAATCTTTATATTGATGTTAAATAAAGAGGAAGGAAAAACAACGCTAGCTTGGGGCTTCAAAAATTAAAAAAAAAAAAAAATTAATAATATAAATAGAGAATAAATAAAAATTCATTGATAAGCAGACAGGAATTTTAAAGAATGTGAAGCACAATTTTCTCTGATCATTGGGTATGTGTGTGGGTCTGTGTGTGTGTCTGTGTGTGTGTCTATTTGTGAAACTTGAGATATTAATATTTTATATTGATTTTATTTTGAATTTTTTATTTTTTTATGAGTTTTTATTGTTTATAGTATACATGTGTGTGTGCATTGTGTGATATTTATTTTGTCATGATATTATATGTGAGCCAATTTGCTTGAACTGAACCAATTCGTGGATGTCAGCGGAGGCGATTTCCTATATATGTATGTAGGTACAACTATGAGAAAAATGTAACTTAAGTTTAAAGTTGAGAGAAATCGAGTTTAAATGATAAAAACAATTAAAGATAACATTAAATGTATCGATACTTAACTAAAAACAAAATAACAATAATAATAATAATAATAGTTATAATAATAGTGGGCGTGTGTGTGTATGCGTCATAGAAACATGCAACATGCGGCAACATACAAAAACTAAACCGCAAATATACGAAATTGCGATAACGATTACGATTACGATTACGATTACGATAAGTCAGCTAAAGTAGTTTCGCCTAAGAGTATATAATATACGAGTAATACGAAAAATAATGATGGCAATACGACAAACAACGAAATAATGTATGTACTATATATACACATACATGCATATGTACGTGTATACATATATAGCATAAACTATTTGGTAGGAGAGGTGTTGATCTGTTGCTCTAGCAAATGGCATTTCTTTCTCATGGCAGAATGTTCTTGAATTCACTTTCGATCAAGAGTGGCCATTCAAAACGCCAAAAAAAAGGTAATTAAAGGAGAAATGATATACATACAGAAAATAGATAAATACATAAATACAAAAGCATAAAAATAAAGTTTGGGTAAATAGAAACTTAATATACATACTAAATTGTAGAGGTACAGTTAATTTGTCTTTCAGCGCATGGTGGCGGTGGAAAGGGGGAGGGGGGAAAGTTGTGTAGGGTGAAAAAGCCCTTTAACTGCATCGAAATGTGATTTGATTTCGGTTCGGTACAAGGAGTGGATAATATGTATATATATATATATATGGATCGATCAAGTGCATGCAGGATTTTATTGTTAAGGGAGCTTACAAGTTAAACGGAATAACCGTGTACAGTGGGGCCTCGAGTAGGTTTTATATTATGCCCATTGTGCACAGCTATGCCGTAGTCCGTTAGAAAATGTTTGTCTACTGGAAACGTACGCTGGGATAGTTAGGAACAGGTTATACGAAAATAATTAAGCTAAGAACTACGGATTTTTTACAGTTGTTTACTACAAGTTTTTCTTTTTTCGTTCGGACTTTGGATGCTCCATAAAAAAAAAAATAATACATTTTTATACAGAAATCAAAAGCTAATGTAAAAATCGTACAAGTTTTGCTCTATTTTTGATTTCATATATCATTTGTCGATATCGTTTAGTTTCGAGTGCATTAGCTTTAAAGCACAGATAGAAAATAACAAAACACATATATACTATACATATACATATATATGTTTGTATATATATATATATATATATATGTATATATATAGAGATATATTTAGATATTGGTGGAGTTGGCGCTACTCACCGTCAATGTTGTCCGTCTGATCGAGTGGCATCTGTTTGGCATCGTTGTGCTCCTCCCGTGCGTCGGCGGCCTGCAGCGCGTGTTGGGTTAACAGCGTGGACATATCCTCGGCGTGCATTTTCAGAGCAGCGCTCTATGAGAGCGAAGAAAGAGAGGCAGACAGACAGAGAGAGTGGGAGGAAGAGAAAGAGTGGGGTAGAGAGTTGTGCGCAATGGTTAAACTCTTTTCATTTTATATATATATATGTATATATTTATATATTTTATTATTATTCAATTGCAAAATGCTTCAAGCCGCTTAAATTAAATTACAAAAAGCTGCTAACACTAGGCCTAAAACTAAACCTGAGCAAGTGCATCATGTGTGTGTGCGGATGTGCGGGTGTGCGAGTGTGCATTTAGTTGTGTGTATTGGTGGGCATCAGGCGCTGTCCTCGCCCACATTTATGGTGATTATGTCGGGCGGTGCTTGCCGCTTGGCTGTGCCGCTGCTGCTCCGGCTGCTGCTGCTGCTGGCGGCCAACGTAGCCAGATTGTCCTGCTCCTGGAGCTCGCGCTCATAGCACAGGCGATGCGATTTGCATTTGTTGTGATGATTAACAATTTCCAGTCGAAAATTGGAGTTGCCCTCGACAAAGGAGGTGCGTATGTCGGCCAGCTCGGTGCTCCATTTGCGGCAGTGCTTGCAGAACATCGTATTGGCCAGCTCATCGTATTTAAGCCAATCGAATTGATATAACCAATTCGCACGAAAGCGTCCGCTCTTGCGGGAAGTGTTACCGCTGCCGCTGCCGCTGCTGCTGCTGCTGCTTGCGCCGGTTGCAGGTGGGCCCAGCAGTTGTTTAGACTCCATGTGGCGCTGCTGCTGCTGCTGCTGCTGTTTCTGCTGCTGCTGCTGCAGAAGTCGCTGCACGGTGCTGTCTAGAGTTTCCTGCTGATATTGCAGCTGCAGCGACTTGAGCTGCGCCTCCACCGCCTGCTGCAGCAGCAGTTGATGCATGGAGCTTTTGTTGCCTGAAAACGCGTCTGTGTCTTTTGTGCTGCTCGCTTTGGGCTGCGCGTTCAATGGAAACGCAACAAAAAAACAAACCAACAAAAAAACAAAACGAAAAACAAACGAAAATGGGAAAAATCAACTTCAGAAAAAATGGCAGAAAGAATCTACTGGTAGAAGGAAGGATTTGACGCTGTTTTTTTTTTTTTTTTAATTTTCTTTTTTTATGCTGTTGCAATAATTGTTGAGATTTTTTCTTTTTCTTGGCCGATATTCCATTTCGAGATATTCGAATTCCGAGAAATCTATATTTCAAAAACAAAACCAAACAACCAATCCTTCGTTCTCACACGCTGTTGCTTTATGCGATTTTTTCTTAAATTTTACAAAACAAAACAATTTGTTAGCAGCTTTTTTCGAGTATTCTCTTTTTCTCTTTTCTTTTTGTAAATTTTCTATTGAAGCATTTTGCAATTGGCTTAAAGTATGCAATTATATGTACAGAAATATTGTATAAAGAAAAAAATAATGTAGCTGCAATTTTTTTTTTTTTTTGTGGTTAAGAACAGAAATTGGAACCATCGCACCGGTTCAAAAGAAAAAACCTTAACAATAAACTTAGCTAACTAAAAGGCATAACGCATTAAATATATCTATATATATGTATTGAAATCGAATCATGGAGGGGAAACGGGCTGAATTTCGGTTCAGGTAGTCGGTAGTCGATTCATACACTTACCGGCAAGTATTCGGGAGGCAGCGCCACGTGATGCTCACGATGTTGCTGCTGCTGTTGCTGTGCATCCATTAGCTCCTGCTTAATACTTAGCGACTGACTGAGTCCGCTCAGCGCACTGGCCGCGCCCACATTGCCACCGCCCAGATGGCCAACGGTCATCGAGAGCGGCGAATCGCGCCTGCCGCCGCCCGCGTCCTCTGACTCGGATGTGCTGCCGCCCGCTTTCGGCACCGGACTCGACTTGAAGTTGCTCGCCTGTAAAATGGCCGCAAAAAGAAATACTACGAATTAGCATACACTCTCTCTCAATGTGTCCTATGCACCTTTACAGTTAAGTGTATTCTTTTTTAACCCTGAAGAACGCATAGTTCTCGATCTAGAGACTTGATGTTTGCTCTTGGAAACTATATGCACATCGATAATATTATTTTAATTTTGATGGTTTCTCTTATTTGAGTAATATCGATAAATGTGGATTTTTAGACATAGTTTTTTAAGTATAACTCGGAGACAACAAGATATATTTATACTAAACTTGGTATGTAGACTCCCTAATCAAGTACATATATTAACAATAATCAACTCTTTTGATAGCACAAGAAAATACGCGCTATTTCATAATTAGAGCTTTACGCTTTGATACATTATATACATACTCGCTATATAAAGATATATTGGACTTACGGTCCAATCCAAATTCATTCATGAATGCATTTCCCATACACATTGTGGAACTAGGGGAAAAAAAGCACATGACAGCTGGAACACCTGCAATGAACGTTTCGGCGCTGGGTTTCGGAGATCTGTTAGTCGGATATTCCCGACTGGAGCACACTTTGTTTTTTATCAGTGACATCAAAGTTAAAATCTCTGCGCGAGAGCGGCACGCGCCAGTTGCCTAAAACAGCAATACGATAAGTTACACACACGAACACACACACACGCACACACACTCACACAAGCCCTCACGTATTAGAAAAGACCACTGACAGCTGATAGGCCCGCCTCTTTGGACAAGTCAGAATGTCTGCCTATCGCGAGTGCCAAACATAAATGTTGTTTGTCTGCTGTGTTTCAACGCGTGCTGATAACCGTCAAGATTTGGCATGTTTTGCTGGCTGCATTCATATAAACTCAAACGTCATAGATATTGAAGTAACCACGAATTGATTGGAAATCGATAAAAATTATTGTCTAGGTATCGATGTATTATATGATCGACATTTTATATTGCCTTATGCCTTTGCACCTACAACTGTGTGAATGGAACAACAGGTGGATTTCCATGACAAATTCATAGCCTTAGCTTTTCAGATATACTTCGCACAATTTATTTAATTGTATTTGTTACAGTCGGCCTGCTGCAGACCTTTCGCTCTTGCTACCTTTTTATTTACTTGTCGAGGATTGAGTCAACCGCAATGGTCTATTTGACTAAGAGCCTATCATATTTTTGGCTGTCAAAACATTTCCCCATTACAATGAACAGTAATATTAAGTTGGGTGATCAACTTGATTTGAGTTCTATAATTTTAATTAGAACTTGCAAGTTTGCATTTACCGTTATGACTTTGGTGCAGACAATATATCTGGCAGATCTTGCTTTCATTAAGCATTCGAAAAATACAGAAAAGCCTAAGCGCAAGGCTCTAACTTTGTTTGGAGAATGGGCCAAAAAGTATCTAGAAAGTGAAATTTGCACGATTTGAGAGCACTATTTAAGTTACTGCATACCAAATTGGGTCTATCTCGTATAATGCTCGAGTTATGCTTAAAAAACAGTATATCCCAGAGATTTATCGAAATAGAAATAAGAATACTTTATGAGATATGTTTTCTACTTTTCGATTTTACATATTTATATTTTATGAATCTCCGACTCCATAAAGTATATATATTTAACATGAGCATCAACATCCGGTTTAATATAACCATGTATTTTTGTATGTCTGTATGTTTCCTTGCGAGCTAGTCTCTCAGTATTTCTGTTGCAGGCAGTGCATATGCCGAAACCGGCCGAATCAGACAAATATACCATATAGCTGGCATGAGAGCGATTGGTCAAAAAGTAGGTTCATGTATGGAAAACTTTTTCTTTATCAAGGCAAAAGATATAAATGTCGGACATCTTAATCTTATGGCTGTCATAGAAACTGTCGGTCGAAATTTAGAATTTTGGCAATATATTCTGTTTTCCAAGACACTTTATTAAACAGCATTTACGAGCTTGACTTTTCTTACATATCTGCTCAAAAAGTTTCTACCAGGCAATTGTCAGAGGAAAATTCTATTTAAATCAAAAGAATTTGTCTGATAATTAAGTCAATACCTCGAACAAAAGATAGTATGTGTTGAACTGTATAAGCTGTATTCTAACGATTTTTTCAACATTATGTAAATACTTTATGGAGTCGCAGATTTCTTGCTCAATTATAATATTATCAGTATTTCTTATCACACCTTCTCGTTCCGCTCGAAACTCACCTGAGAGTCCTGCGCGTAGTGTCTGTCCTGTATGTGGGCCGCATTCGCATGGTGGCTCGAGGACAACGAATTATCACAGTTGGATGATGAGTTCTTACGTCTGCGCTTACTACTACACAGCTGATCCACGGGCGTCGTGGAGAGCTCCCTGTCCCGATCTCTGTCTCTGCTATCGTTGCGCTCTCGATTGTTGTTGTTGTTGTTGTTGCTGCTGCTGTTGTTGTTGTTGTTGTTATTGTTGCTGCTACTGCTGCTGCTATTGTTGTTGTTGTTGTTGTTGTTGTTGTTGTTGCTGTTACTATTATTATTATCCTTGGTACTGTAGTCCAGCTGCAGCAGCTCATCCCGACTATCAGCCCGCTCGAGCGTGCCCCGCTCGCTGCCCCGATCGCTGCCCGCATCGCCGCGACTGTTTAAAGCATCGGCGCTGGCGCTTCTGTTCGCAGCGGCCGCGACTGCGGCGGCCATGGCAGCCGCCGCGGCACTGGCGCTGCCCACGCTGGGAGATCGTTCGCCGGCGCTGGTTGTCAGGCCGAGCGCTGCGACGGCAGCATTCACATTGCCGCCGGCTGCGGCCACAGCGGCCGCGGCAGCAGCTGCCGCCGCGGCGGCGGAGCTACGTTCACTTAGGCTGAGGCTGCTGCTGCTGCGCTGCAGATCATCGCGCAGGTCGCGTTCGCAGCGGGAGCGCAGGGAGTCACGTGAGTCGCGCACATCGGCGCCCAGGCCGCCACCATAGCTGGGCCCGCGTCCAGTGGGCGAGCTGGCGGCCGAGTCGCGCAGCTTGTCGCAATCGGAACGATAATTCAGGTTGTTGTTGTCTGTGAGGCCGCGCACCTGTGAACGCCCAACCAAAAAGAAAGCGGGAATAAATACACTAGACTACAAGGACAAGCTAAGCTTAAAGAACACACACCTGCAGACTTTCGGCGGTCTTCAGGAACATGGGCAGCGAACTTTGACCCACATTTACCTCACCCTTGTACATGAAGTCCAGCAGGGAGCGCATCTCTGAGTATCGTACATCTTTCAAATAGATGATGGGATGTGGATGCTGATTCTGCAGGAAAATCGTCTCGAAATATGGACTGCAGGCTGACAGTATGGTTTGATGTGCCTGGAAAATAATATTAATTAGTTCAGCCGCTTAATTATCTAGACAATATGCCGCTCACCTTGACTGTTTCACCATCGCAGGCGAGGGTGACATCGCAGAGCGCTTCACGCTGCAGCAACGAGGTCAGCACCCCGGTCAGATTTGTGGGATGGTTGTTCCAGCGTAAACAGAATTGCTGGTCCATAGCTCCTTGTTCAGTGTTGTACCTGCAATACGAATATCAGTTTGATTAATAAGAGATTCAAGTGATCAAGTGAGAAAGTAGTTTTAATTATTCAAATAAAATGCTGGCACAAATCCGCCAAGAACCGAAACGCTGCATTCCTTGCAGTACTTTTCTTTTTGCCTTAAACATTCGCGTTTCCTCGTTTTTACCAAGTGTTGGAAAGATATTTTATGCTCAACAGTTACGTTTTCACTTTTAATCCACAACAGTGGAAAATGGGTGAAAACAGTTAAAAACTTATTAACATATAAACGAAAGTTGAGTTTTCGACTAATCCACGGTCACCGGTGAAAACTGAGTGAATAATTTAAACTTAACGAAAAAAGTTTCTTTTTATAAGATTTTATTATTTTACTATTAATATTTAAGAGGCGCAATTCTATCATAACAGCAACTTTTTGAAACAGGTTTTTCGATCAGTTCCAAACATTAATAAAATTTGCTAAATATGAAAATAACAAATATTCTAGCATTTATTAGAGGTGTGGAACGGAGGGCGGATTGTAATTTAGAAAATGTTGTTAATGAAAGTGTATTGCTAACATTTAACATACATTAACACATTTACAAGCCAGTTTATAAGCAAAAGTATTTCTAGATCTCGTGATAGTTTCTTTCGAAGGGATAAGAAGAGGCACTAGAGCATTTGTGGGAAATGTTTATGTTAATTTCGTATATTTTTTGGTATTGTCTGTGACAGGTGTTTTTCTATTTAACACACACAACATGTCTATTATTTTCCGTTATATTTACCGTAGCAATAATTGCCAACATTTGAGAATTTTGCACTTAAACAAATAGACAAACGTCTGTACAATTTATGTTGTCTTATCGAGTGTGATCGAAAATAGGACTTTGTTCCCATTACTAGATTTAGCACTGTTCTAAATTTATAATTTAGTTTCCGTCGCATATTTTTTTATCTTTAACAGCTATTATCAGTTTGCAGGTCGGAAGCGAAAGTAGTTCCTTTCCCATTTTGGCATTTGGCTTGTTATCGTTATCACAGCACATCGATAAATTACCTGTGCTACCTACCATAAACAAACTGTAATTTGTCATCAAACATGAATTTTTTATTGCAATTGGGCGGATGCCTGCGCTTGGCCCGGATACGCTTGCTGGGCCAACATTATTAATTGCATTTCCGTTAGCCGATAACAGGCGCTAGGCGTGTGCCATTTGCTATCTCACTCTCGATACGCGGCGTGTGTTTGCCTTTACGGGCGGGTGGGTGGTGCATTGGTGTGTGGCGTGTTAATTGCCGTTAGTTGCCGCCATGTTTTGACTGCTGGCTAACTGTTAATTGCTCGCACAAATGGCCATGAGAACGTGGCTGTAAACGACTAGGGGTTAAGTACATAGGCTTATGTTTTGCGGCCAAATGTAATGGCACAGATAAGCTAATGCTAATTAATGTACAGCTGCACACATACATACGTACATATTTATATGTGTATGTGCTAGCTCAATAATTTAATGGCTGCCCTCGCGCTAACCACACTTTAGTATATGTAAGTCGCGCATACATACATACATGTGTGCATATGTATGCATAAGTACTTTTTTACAGCTCGCGCTAATCTTAACTGCTTTTGGGCAAAGTTCTAATGCAGCGAACGGCAACAGAAGAGTGGAAGACAGAGGGACGGGGCGCTAAGCAATTGATAAGAAGTACTTTTGCTTTTCAAATACAATAGCAACAAAATGTTAAGAAATGCAAAGCCAGCAAGAGAGCGCGTCCACATGAAAGAGAGTCTGACCGAAAGCTTTTAAGTAAGAGAAATATATTAATGGGGTTGTTGTTGCTGCTGCTGCTGTCGCTGTTGCTGGCGACGCGCGCAGCTTAACAAAATAAATAAACAAAACGTCAAAGAACTTTTTCGCAAATGTGTGTGAGCGAGCGAGCGCTATAGCGCACAATGAATGTGTGCGACTGAGTTGGACATTCGCGAGAACATCGCGTGTGTGTGTGTGTGTGTGTGCACATCTATATACATGCGTGTGAAGAGTAACAATAACAATAATAACGATTACAGCTACACACTCGTGTGCGTGTGTGTGTGTGTGTGTGTGTGCGATGGGGCCCGGCGCTGTCGTAAGCGCTTTTTTATTTGCGGCGCCGACTGCGACGCCCACAATGAATTGTTTTTTTTTTTTTTTTACTATTATTATTTTCCTCTCGCAGTGTTTGTGTGGCTTCTAAAATTTAATAGCACAGACAATAAACATACGTACATACATGTGTACATATATGTATATACGACGGGCATTAAACTATCTCTCGCAGAGAACTTTCGCTTTCAACTGAGAAAACTTTTGCTGTTAATTTTGTTCGCAGTTATTTATTTATTTTACTCATTTTTTTTTTGTTTTGTTCCTGTAAACGTTCCAATTTTGCAGGGGCGGACGATCACGCGGCTTTCATTTGCTTTTACAATTTGATTTTCATATATGTACATATGTAAATGTATATGTATGTATGTTATGCAAATACATATATGTATGGAAAATACATTTTGATTATACATTCCACACATTTCGCCATGCAATATTTATTGTGCATTCATTTTGCATGCTGTGCATACCTATTAACTGCCTTTTTACAGGGTATTTAGTCACAATCATGTTTCGTTTATCTGTAGTAAACATCATATTATAGCCTGTTTACATTTAAACTGAATTTTATACGAGATGATTATTAAATTGAATGTGTTTATTTATAAACATTTTTTACAAATATTCCTTTTATCATTTAGGGTTTCTCCTAATAAATCAAATAAATATTTATTAGCACGTGGCATATGAAAACTTTGGGGTACATACATATGTACACATGCTAGGCAATAAGCGGAAAATAATGTCAATTGAGACTGGGCATCAAATAAAGTCTAATCATAATACATACATATTTATATATTCCATATAGATTGATCATATTTTAAGAGCACTTTTCGTTCGATTTAAATGACAACTAACACTCATTTCCCTATATATATATCAGTTTTTTTAATTATACTAAAAACGAGAAAGTAAAAATATCTACGGCACACCGAACTTTTAATGCCCTTTGTAAACCTTTGCCTTGTGCTCAAATGTGGATCGTGATAGTGTTAGTGAGAGGGAAGCTCGTGAATGTTGAGTTTGATGAAAATATATTGGAAAACAAAATGTTTATCTGTATGAGAAACTACTATTCGACCGACTTAATCTTTGGCAGGTTTATGATATAGTGATCAAATTTACATAAGGTTTTACATGTATATATGTAGGGAGCACAGTGAAGCTTATAGATAGATGCAGAGTTTGATAGACGATAGAAGAAACTAGTTTTCGACCGATCGTTACTCTGGCAGCTATATGATATAGTCCTCCAATCCGCCCGGTTCCGACATATATACTGCATGCCACAGAAAGACGGCTATATCCTCTCGGCTGACGTCTTCTTCTATGCATTGCAAATTTCTTTACTTACTTAAAATACCCTTCACAAGCGTATATATATATTGGGAAACATAATTTAATTGAAACATATTCAATGGAATTAGTTAGATATTCCAACATAAATCACTTTGACAGTTGTGAGTGAAAGAATTTATATTTCAGGAACGAAAAAAAAATAAGTACATAAATGTATAATTAGCACAAAATATAAAATTAATAAAAACAACAGAGATAAAAAACTGATTTATTGCGCCGGCGCCAGCGGGGTTAACAAAAAATAAATAAAATAAAATAAAAACCCGCAACGTATTCAGCAAAATTTCATTTTCATTTTCATTGACGCGATTTGCAGTTGGCGAATCGCTGTTTGCGGTAGTTTGCAAGTAATTTGCGATTGCAGTTCTCATTTTCACTTGCACTTTTAATGCAAATGTTGCTGCGAATGCAAACACAATTTGCCCCCCCACCTCTCACTCCTTCTGCCCCCACCTGCCGGCCCCTGTTGTTCTGTTTAATTAATGGGTGCAATGGCAGTAGCAAACTTTTACTTTCAGCTGCTTACGTCAAATTGTTGAAATGTATATTCCGCGCGTGTGTGTGTGTGCTTATCAGCGGCAAAGGGAGAAGCGAACAGCAAAAAAAAAAAACACTTGAGAATACAAACAGAAGCGAACAAAAACAAAATAAAACCAAAAGAGCACATAGAATTGCCTGAATAAACGATCAGCAAATTGCGCAATATGTTAAATATGTCCGCATTATCCGTTCGCTGTTTGCTTTGCCAGCGATACTGTAACAGATCCGTATCATCTGACAAGCTCTTCGAGTAATCATGTTATAATGGGGCGAGCTATTGAGCGTTGGGTATACCCTTTTAATCAATGGCTGTAAGCATCGCATTATTTGTTGCGCTCTTTTCATGAGCTTCAATAAACATGGCATTTTACTCTCTGTTACGTTTTGTAAGAATTTCAGTTGCATCGAAGCGCTGTTAGTGCACTCTGTTATGTTTTATTACATTAACAATTTTGGTTTAATTCTGCTTTGTTTTATTTACAAGTACATTTTGCACATAACAGCTGTGTTTGAACTCTGTTACATTTCATTAACATTTACATGGTTCAATTAACAGCTGTTATTGCTCTCTGTTATGTTTTGCTGCCATGTACATGTTGCATAAAAGAGCCGTAATTGCACTCATTATGTTTTAACATTTAAATGTTGGTCTGAACAGCTGTAATTGAGATCTATAATGTTTTATTACTGTTACATTATGCACTTAACAGCTGTTATTGCACTATGTTATATGTTATTTACATTGCAGCTTTAATTGCAGTCCGTTATGTTTAACGGCTATTACATGAAGTCCTGGTAGGCCTAAACACACATTATGAATTTTAACTAGTTATCATTCGATGGATTTCAGACTACTTTTCCGTGAGTAAATTAAATTGAAGCTTGTTACCCTCATATTGGAGATGCGGGACTCAGAGGGAGCATTTGGGGTTTTAAGATTAAGATGCAGATGTTATATAT